GACAATGAGGATCTGAGAAGACTGTCACACACTGAAGACAATGAGGATCTGAGAAGACTGTCACACATTGATGACAATGAGGATCTGAGAAGACTGTTACACACTGATGGTAATGAGGATCTGAGAAGACTGTTACAAGAGTGACATTAAATGAAGTAACATCTGAGGTGTGTTTCAATCCTAGGATTCATTGTTTTCATCTCAGCAAGAGTGTATCTCTCAAAAAAGAAATATTGCTAAAAACTTCCCTTGAACCATAAATGATCTGAAATTATTCACACACACATACACACACAGTCAGTAGGGCAGCATTCTTTTACTTAATGCCATTTGATTATCGAGAGTAATTGGACTCATCTACGGGACATTCTAAGCTGTAAATTCAAGCAAGGCTCTTTCCAGCTTTGTGTATATACAGTAATGACCACCTACATGCACATCTGAGATCAGAATTAAACCAGCCTGAATCATCCATTAGAATAAAGATCTGCAAGCAAAGACTAGAAATTTTCTTTGTACCATTCTGCTCACGTGTCTGGTTTCTGAGACTCAGCCCTGCCACGATGCTTATTTTCTACCTGACTTTATGGATTGCAATTACTTCTCACATTACAGCAAGCCGCAAGTGGCCCGAGCCAACAACCAGGGTCATGGAAGGTTTCTTCTTGTACTTATGCTTATGACAGAAGAGCTTCTTTGAACCAAACTTGATCTTCTTTCAAAAGAAAGGGAAAACTTTAAGCCTCTAACTCCTGGGAGTGGCAGTGAGAAGAGCCAGAGGGCGGTGAGCTAGCTCTGAACTCCTGGAGATCACTTGAGCACATTTGGCAATCATTTGGCTTCTGTTGAAAACAAGGCCTTCTAATTATGCTTCTGCCAATGGAAGACAAAAGACAGAACTATGGCTTAGAAAGGTCATTATGACATGCCAGTGTCATGGCGGTGATTGTGGTTTCTTCTGAGTACAGGCCTGCTGACGGGTCTGCCACATACCCGGCTGGGGAACCCATTCATGAGAATGGAATCTCATAAAGACTGCAAAGTTATTTGCTGTTCTTCTAAACTGTATCTCGCCTGTAATATTTTCTGACACTAGAAATAAAATAATAACATGTTTTGGTTCTTCTTTCTGCACTCCCTACTACACCAAAAGTGGTTTAGATGAAATAGGTATGAAAGGCACAATGAATGCAGGGTTTTCCATGCTACAGGGTTTTCCAACTGCCTCAAAGACAAAGGAGACAGAACATACAGATGTTTGTGTCTTGCTGCAAGAGTTGTGGACTAACTCCTTCAGTGTCTCTGGAATGCAAATTTTCTTTCACAGTTTAGCAGTCTTTTTTGGATTTCAGCACAGTGAACTAACACTTTCCTGGATTCCAAGACCTCCAGAGAACCAGATGGATGAGAGGAACTGGGAAAAAGAACCCACACTGTTTGAAAAAGGTATGAATTTCTCACTCTGCATTTAGCCAAAAAGCTCTGAAAACTAGAAGAGCGAAATCACTTTTGGTTTGTTCAAATGCATGCCATCCCAGTTGTTGGTGGGGTGTAAGAAGAAAAACACTCCAAAGTGATTTGGCGGTTCAGAGTCTGTGTTCAGTTTTAGCTGGGAAGCAAATTTTAATAGAAATGGTATGTTTACTATCAAAGGCGGGGAAGAAAGTAGAGAGGGGAGATTGCTCAACGGATCTTTCTGCGTGTCTGTGCTCTGAAGCCAGGGATGGCTTCCCAAGGCCAGCTCTTCTAACTGGACATCTTGGTCCTTCTGAACACTGAGACCTTCTCTTTCCAGACATACATCCTGCTCCTCTCCCTCAGCTCAGTATTCATTCCTATCAAGCCAAACTTTTTAACACAAAGTCTTCTTGTTCGAGGCAGAGATCACTGTGATCTCTGTGTGTTTTACCTTCCTACAAACCTTAGCTTTGGAGGTCAATGGCTTTGGATGATACCTCTGTTACTGGTCTTTTTTTTTTTTTTTCCTATTCTTTCACCCTCTCCCCCAGTGGTTCTATATTGTTTATGGCAGGGACCTGCATAGAGTTACCTGTTTATAGCCCATTGCAAACTGAAATCACATCGCATTGCACTCCATCCTCCCGTGTGATAGAAGCAGCTAAGCAGCGAGAGCTAGAGTCCTGGGAAGAGCCTAGCTAATGGAGTACTGCCTTTTTGGAGGATTCTCTATAGTACACACAAAATATGACAAGATTTTCTCTTGAAGTTCTACACTGCCACAGGATATGTAACTTCTACACCAAAGTTGTCATGCTGGAGAGACCGCCTTTAGTAGAGAGAGATGGATGAGAAGGCCCACTTGTTCCACACCAGCTGGTCAGTAGTCTAGGCCTCTGAGAGACCTCAGTTCAGAAGACTCAGAAGTGTCTCTGAGCTGCAGCTGGCTGAGAGACTACCAGATCCCTGACCAGCTGGATGTGGGAGATAAAAGAATAAAAAAGATGGTTTTATAACCACAAATTTGTTATCAATTAGTTATGGTGGCTCTCCTATCAAAAAGTGCAGCTTCTGGGTGTTTAAAAGCTCTTCAAAGAAGAAATTTGAACTTACTTTCTGTTGGTAGCACTACATGTGTTTCACAAAGCACAGTAGAAATTGTTTTGTAAGTACTTGAATCAATGATTGAATGCAATGAATGAATGAATAGTACATTTTGGACAGGTTCTTGATCAATGTACTGTAAGTTCCAGAAGAGAGCTTTATTCAAAAGGATTGGGCATGCTGAGTGAAAATAATGACAAAACCTGAGAGTTAAAATACAGAATAGACTTTCCTTCTCCATAGAGTAGGTAATTTTCAAAACCTGCAAGTCATTATTTATTCCTAGTTGCAAAAGGGACACACAGGAAAGCACAGGAATATACATATTCCTGGGTGACTCATTCTCTTCCTGGGCAGCCACTGCTATTCTTTACCATTTCTAAATGAAAACAAAACAACTTTCTCTTGGATGGTCTTCGATTAACAAAGGCAATGTATTTCTCTAACGGTATAATCAATGGGATGTGTAGCAGCTAAAGCTAGAGAGGATCATGGAGAAAGTATTAAAGTAAGCTATCTGTCCCAGTCAGTATGGGGAGTAAATTCCCTACAGCACCCTCAATTGGTCAGGGCCTATCCAGCTTGAAACTATCATTTCCAGGGACAGCAGACTCTCTTGGAAGGTATCCATTCTACTGGCCCACTTAATTGTTGGAAGATTATATTTAATCTTCCTTCTGTCCTCTATAGGGAAGTCTGCTGCCTTTTCTATGCAACAGCCCCAAAGAGTACTGAAAATATTGTCCCTTGTGAGCCTTCTCTTGGGATAACTACCTGGACCCTTTCCATCCTTTCTTATGGGCTATTTATGTCTCTTATCCCCCCACCACTATTCTCAGCACAAGTTCCAGTTTGTCCTGGTTCCTTTCAAAGCATGGGTTCCAGAATAGAACACAGCACTGTAGGCTCCGGAGCTAGTGTGTGTCCTGCATACCCCTTCCTAAAGTAGTGTGGTCAAGGACATCATTTACTTTTCTGTGATCTGATATATTGTTATTATGATTATTAATATTCTGGTCAAATTTCTTCTCTTGGGGATTTAATTTTGTTTTTGTGCAAACACGTTGAAAGATGTCTGACACAGCGTCAGCATCAGTTTTCCTTCTCCAACCAAGTACCATTATTTTTTTTTTGTCAGAAAATACATAATTTGCTGTCACTATCTCTACCATGTTATCCCATAATCTCCTCTCAGATAACCAGAGAAATATCCAACATGTCACTCAGCCTTTCCATACTGACCAAGAGTACACCAGGTACACAGTTCTAAAATCTGAAGATTTCATTTGAAAAACAATTATTTCTGAGTCTATTTAGTCCTTGCTCTGTGGTGAGGAGGTCAGGCACCTGTTGCTTTATGACAGTTCTCTGACTGTTTGACACACTAGAAAACTCTGGATTTCAAAATGGCTAAGGGCTGGCCTCCCTTTAATCTCCTCCAGCAAACATTAGACAGCCCCAGGGTTGGAGGAGACTCACAGAAAGGAGGAAGAAGGAAAAGGGGAGAGATCTGCAGTAATAGATGTGTCCTCCATATTAAGTATTGGGTGTGGCTCTTTTTTTTTTTTTAAATCAAATTAACCCATTAAATCCTCAGAGGAACACCAGGATCAAATATTATTACAATTTTATACAAGAAAGCAAAACATAGATTCTTTTATCATTACTTATTTATTTACACGTATCCCAAGTCCTCAATTGGTAGACAGGATTGAACACAACCCTGCCTGACTCGTGTCTGCATAGTTGGTAAAAAAAAATATTTTATGAGAAAGGAAAGACTGAAAAATGTGGACCTGTATGACGACTCTGTACATATTAAAAGTGTTCTTCATTAATGGCTGCATCTCTGAGATGTAAAAGTCCACAAAAGAATAGGAGAAACCTTAGACTTAGGACAGGGTTAGCCTTAGAAGCGTCACCCACTTGCTAACGTGTGTCTGGGTAACTGTTTCTGTTTTCTTCAGAAACTGGACTGTACTTTAAAATACACAGCTGCCTGCAACAATAACATTCACTTCCTGCTGCTTTGCTCCAAGGAGACTTGGGTAAGGGTGGAATGAAGCACCCTTAGAGGTAAGGAGCAGGATGTCAGCACAGCAGGAGTCTAGAACCTGCCCTCCTTGCCCAGGAGCGTCTACTTCCTTACCGCCTCACCAAGAGGGAAATAAATGAACAGATCTACTTTGTTTTCTGCTTCTCCAGCTGAACCTGGTCTTCACAAATACATGTACTTCATGGTTTGGGTCCAGTTATTTATTCCCCTGGCTTCCTTCAGTTTCCAATGTGCATTGGGAAGTTTGGATGCAAAGAACCTCAGAAATGTTTCCCTGAGTGAAGGACAACATCAAGAAGAAATGACATACAGGATCACACCTCTTTCCCGATGAGGAGCCACACACAAGTCTCCCTGTGGAGAAGCAGCCCTGGTGCTGCCGGACACTCACCCATTCTCTTTTGCTCAGGATGTTCCCTAGATTCCAGACAAAGAACTCTGAACTCTGAACTCGTCTTATGTGCTGCCCTCCTCGTTGCTCTCTTAATGGTATTCTTCGCACTTACAGCTGACGGGCCATTTCCATACTCCAATTGTATGTGTCCTCTCCCCTGGAGAATTTTTGGTGCAAGAACCCATTTCTCCTCTTAAATACTATTTTGTTTTACTTCCAGGGGGAGCAGATTTGCAAGAACAGAGGGCTGATATGAAAGGAAGGGGAAGTAAATGGGATGAAGATACATGGTGTGAAAGAAACAAAGAATAAATAGAAAGTTAAAATAAAAAAAAAAAAGAAAAGAATGCTTTGCTGGTAGAACTATGCCCTTGCAGCCTGTTTCACTGTATTCTTGGTTTTGCCAGTGTTTATCTCCACTGTTCTTTGAACTTCTGGGGATGGGGCCATGACTTAAATTATCTTTTCATTTCCATAGCTAGCAAAGTGTCTGTCATAGGCAGCAGGTATGCAATAAGTGACCTTTGACTCATGAGGGAGTAAATAAAATGCAAAGAGTTGATTTTGTTGAGGTTAACGGTGTGAATCCTCATCTCATTTAGGAGATACTAAACCTCACAGGCAAATGCAGCTTCAAAGGAAACAGGGATATCTCGGTCAATTGCTTGTCATCATCAGGCGTACATGGCATGTACACAAAGGAGAATCACAGAAGAATCTGTGAGGTGTCTTAAGAAATGCTTGTCACTCAGTCAGGTCCAGTCAAGGAGAACAAATCACCGACACTCCAGAGAACTTGAAGATGGGATTACTCTAAATTTCTAAGTGAAAATGTGTTATCCTGGGTAGATTCTTTCATACTCCTTTGAGCTCACTGGATTTTCAACCTCTCTCAAGCGTTTCCTATTACCCCATAAACTCCCTTCTAGTTCTAGGATTCCCAGGTCCTGGGTGCAGGCTCTCACTGCAGCATTTCAACTCCACACCCAGAGGGTGCTTTGGCAATGTGGCTTAGTGGGCACTCTCTCAAGCAGCATTCTGATTATGCCGTTATGGACTATTTACTGCAAAATGGTCTGGGTGAGGCCTTTAAAACACGACTTTCTAGACTGAATCACAACTTGGTATGGCATAAGACCATAGTAGAGTGCCAGGCCCTGTACATTTGAGAATGAAGTGCACACTTATTTTATAAGTGCCAAAGTTAGTGTCAAAAGGTCTGTGTGACAGTAAATATTAAAGGGCATGGATTTGATGTTATACAAACTAGCACAAGTTACAGCTCCCCATTGATTATATCATCACTCAGCAGCTTTTAGATCTTACATATCACCAATTTACATGTATTATCTAAGATATATTAGAAGCTAAAAGGCTTACTCACCCCCATTTTAAAGTCTGGGCTCTTTCTACTCCCATGCAAAGAAAATGTTAAAACATAAACTTCTCTTAAATTGATGCAAAGTCTATCTTTAAAAAGCAAACAAGCAAATGAATAGCATGGAAAACATGTTCTGTGTGTTAAGAGTTATGACAGAGGCCTTTTATTCTATGAGAAGGGATATCAAATACACCAACTCCTAAAGTAGAATGGACATTGTCAAATGACTATTAGTCAATGATAGTTGAAATGCAGGTAGGCCAGACCCGACCAGAACATTTCAGTACTTGGTATTTAAACACAGATCATACAATTCTACTTAACAAACTAGAAGGGAAGAAAAGAAACTGATGGCTTAAGGAGTGCCTGAAGCAGCAGCTCAATAAGGGAGGGAAACAGGAAGAACGAACTCATCATGTAATTCCGGAGTATGGCAACAAGTACAGTAAAGCATATTGACCACCATTGCCTTTGAAAGTTAATAGTATCCTGAGAACTTGAAAAGATAAAAATTTAGGAACTGCCACTTTTTAAGTCTTCTTTGCCATATGCTCTTCAGACATTTCTAGACTCTGAATGTAGAAAAAAAGCCCTGCAATGTGGGAAAGGAAAATGGAGCAAAGGCATTATCTTCAATAAGATGATACTTGGGATTCTTCACCATAGAGACACAGAAGATGGACTGCAGTAGCAACTGTGAAGGATGTGTTGTTCATAACCCAGGAGGGAAATTTAGAGGACAACTGGATTCCAGAGAGTAAAAACCTAAAGGAACACTCCAGTCCAGCCAGGTAAGTTTAAGGACACAGCAACAGAGCTGGTGACAGGCAGTCCGTTACACTGCCAAGTCAGGGCAGAGCTGCCATTTGAACCCAGGTCTCTCCATTCCCCATGCTCTACCTACTTTTTCATGACACCAGTGAAGGAATAAAACTACTGGAGACAAAGGGTGATGCTTAATCTCAGGGCTCTGAGAGAAGATGCATTTATGCCCATATTCAGTACTTGAGTTCCTATGTTTTTCCTTAAGTAAATTCACGATATAATAAAAATGGAAAAGAGTGGAGAAGAATGGATAACCTAATTATAGCACAGTGTGGAATTTGGCATATTCATGGAATACTAGACAACAAAAAGAAACAGATGGCTGATCCAGGAACAGGGATGAATGAATCTCAGAAAGTGTACTCTGAATGAGAAAAAGGAGATTACTGAGAGAGGGAGAAGGACACAGAGACACAGAGACTTATCGGAAGGAAAGAACTATGGGAAAAGAAGTCAGAAATCAGTTGCTTCTGAGGGTAATAGGTGGGGCTGGATTTGAAAAGGACATGGGAGAGTTTTCTGGAATGATATATACAACAGTCCATTCTCATCAAACCGAGCACTTATGACCTAAGTATTTTTTGTATAAAATTATGCCTTAATAAAAATGAGAACACTGTAAGAAAGAAAAAGGGAAGTAAGGCTAAGATTTGTACCATTAATAAATATAACATGAAAATACAACATAGTAGTAAATATACTCAAAATAAATAAGCCCAGGAAAATGCCCTCTAGAGCCCATTTGACAAAGGTAAATGGGCTACCTAAGACAAGGTTTAAATGCAGACAAATGAAAATTTGGCTTTATTTTTTTAAAGGCATTATTAGAAATGCATCTATTTCTTTGTCACTTGAAATAATTCCTGTTCATAGCAGCTGTTTTAAAAAGCAATGCAATATGCGGTGGTTCAGTTAGCTCCTTCACAGAGGAGTCGAGAAAGCAGGCTCACAAAGAACAGGTGTATTTACCAGGACACATGAGCCGGGGATGGTTTTCTAAGTTTCAGGATGACCTTTTCTCACTCTGCCACACTGGCCCACGGTGTCAGAGGTTCTTACGTTTGCTCCCTTTACACATCTACCCCCACAAAGCACTGTTACCAGTATAGTGAAGGTGGAAAGGTCCTAGATGCAAAGGCTGGGTTCTTCAGGCACTTTAGAGAGTTGCCACTTTACAGGCTACTCTGTGAAGCGCTTATAGTATAGCCACAGTACTGGCACTCTTAGAACTCTCCCATGAGGGACATTTTGGCCACTCACACAGCCATACAGAGGAATCAAGGCAAGTCCCAGGCAGAGCAGGGAGGGCAGCCACATCACATCACTCCATCATCAGTGCAGAGGGAGCCTGAGCTTGCTTAGGAGATCAGAGCACAGTGGAGAAGAAACTGCTTCATTGGAGGGGGTGGGGGGAGAGTACTAGCACTGTCTCATGGATTTTCATGGCACAGACCAATCACTCTGCTGATGCTCTCCTCACCAGTAAAATGAGGTGACGACGATGTCCTTTTTGTGAGACTGAGAGAATTAGACGACACGGGGCAAACTCACGTCCCTCCTGTTCTCAGTGTACAAGATTCACTGTTCTGAGGGCAGGCATTACACACACCACAGTCCTGGCCAATATGGCTTCCCTTTGTATTTTCAAGATTTGCTCCTCTAGATCTGAGTTGTCAATGTAGACAATCCAGACTACATAAATTCCAGTGAATCCCAATGAAAACAGATTCATTCCTGAATACATAATGAGTACAACAAGAGTTTGAACATATCACTGTGTTTTTTCACCAACATCTGAACGAAGGAGGAAGAGAATCCGGGGGAAGAGGAGGACAGAGGCCACCGAAAAACACCTCTGATGAATGTGGTGGTGCATATTCGTAATGCCAGGGCTCCGAAGGCTGAGACGGGGATTAAGAGTTCAGAGCCAGTCTAGTCACCTCTTTCTGGTGATAAATCTGTCTTTGAATTATTTTGAGACTGGGATAACACCATCTTACATGGGAAGCTGCAATTTTTATTTCATGATTTATAGACGTTACAAGTGAAGTTCAAAAAACGAAGAAACCAGCAAGCTGTGTGACCGAACTTTGCGCTCGGTTCTGTCTGGTCTGGCTTAGTCCTCCCTGGTCCATACCCTCCCCTGAGTCAACTTGCTGTTTAAATAATCCCTTAGCAGATGTGTTGCTCAGCCATGCAGTGATTGCCACATTTATGCTTGTCTTAGAGTGAAGTGCAGAGTGTTTGTGGGAGAACAAACATCAGTTATCCTTGTTGATACAATAAGGGAGATGTAGGCCTGGAAATCTAGCCTAAAGTTACAACTGATGCTTGTAGTGAGCTTTTAGATATTTAGATAAGATTCTATGAAAGCACCAATAAAGACAGTTTCTTGTTTATGCTAGCTGCTTTGGAGTCTAAAGAGGCTTAGTGAAGTTGCCATGTCTTTTGCTACTTGTAGGCACAGTCAGGGTATCTTTCCCAGAGAATTTTAATTTAAAGGAAAAATGTCCCTGGTGATTCTCATCAACTTCAAAGACAAAAGTGTGAATGCTATTGAAAACTGTCACTCCCTATTCTAACTTCAACTCCCAGCATTGGAGAAGAAATTCTATTTCTTCTAATGTCAGGCTGTTCATATTCAGGGACCACACAATGTTGTTTCTAGATGACTCTGGAAGAGAAGGCAGTAATGGGTCACAAGTGGCTAAACCAAGCTCTTTGGTATTACCAATTGTGCTAGATGACTAAGATCACCATTGCCTCAGAGGAAAGACATGGTGCAGGAATGTCAGAATGTTTGTGGATGGTCCTCCAGAGAATCGAACCTATGCCACAAAGTCCTTTTCCTCCTAGAATCTCTTAGTCAGCTGTAAACTGAATAATGGAAACTAGTAATAGAATAATGGAGTTAGAATACTCAAACAAACAAGGACCCCAGAAACTTTATCATCAGAATAAACGACTTAAAATAGTTATGATGATATGCTAATATAAAAGTATTTCACAAACCTTGTTTGCTAAGAATACTGGGCATCATTATAAGCTGTTATTAGACAGAAGCTATCTGACCAAACAAGACTTGACCCACGCCACTAGAGATAGTGCTTTTCATAAAAGCATTCTGCACATGAGGAGTTTGCATACAACAATCTGTGTCTCTAGGCTGCTCCATCCCTTCCCGTTCCAGACACAGAGCTTCCCCCTCTCCCAAACTGCCAAAGCAAAAACCATGTATTGCTAGGATCTCCCGGGTTTGTTACATCCTGATTTCCTGTCTTGATTCTCAGGCAATGATGTCTTTCCTAAAACTCAACCTCGTTTGGCTTCTTTTTCTCAAAGTAGTAGGTCTGCAATGTGGAGTTTGCATA